AGAAATGATCATTTGATTTGGTGTTTGTTAAGTTCAGAATAAAAAGAGAGAGATGGACAGTGGGGGAAAGAGAAAAGAAGAAGAAGGATGAGAAGAAGAAGGAAGAGGAGGAGGAGGAGGAGAAGAAGAAGAAGGAGGAGGAGGAGAAGAAGAAGAAGTGGTAGTAGATAGACAGATAAATGGATAGATAGACAGACTATCCTGACAGTATTCACATGACCAAAGTGGTAAGACTCTAGAACAAATGACACCTTGGAATTTCACCCAGTTCTAAATGCTAGGACTCCAGAGCTCTGTCCTAGACCCTCTCCTCACTCTACACTCTCTCATGGTGGACACATCAACTCCTATGGATAAACAAATGACTCACTGATAAACAACGTCTTCCAATCTCATGTCTCTCCTGAGCTCCAATCCTCTATCTCCTCCAACTGTCTGTTTTACAAGTTCATCTAGATATCATGGACACCAACGTGTCCAAAAAAGAACTCATCGTTTCTTTTAACTTCTTTGTTTCTGATCATGACATAACCATTCTTAAAGGCACCAGGTTCACAACACAGGAGTTATCCTTGACTCCTCGTGCTTTTTCACCTTCCCATTCCCTTGATATGATACCAACTGCCAAGTCTAACATGTTCTGTCTTTTCCACATCTCTTGCATGTATTCTCTTCTCTCTACTCACACTACAATCACCTAATCCAGGTCCTCATCACAGCTCCCCTGGACACTACCTTTAATGGTCTCCCTATAACCAGTCTCCAATCTATATTCCACATGACTGCCCATGTGATATTCCTAAAGTTTATTGTTGTTGTTGAGTTGTTTCAATTGTGTCCAACTCTTCATGACCCCATTTTGGGGGCTTTCTTGGTAAGGATAGTGGAGTGGTTTGCCATTTCCTTCTCCAGCTCATTTTTTACAGATGAGAAAACTGAGGCAAACAGGGTTAAGTGACTTGCCCAGAGTCACACAGTTAAGGAAGTGTCTGAGGCCAGATTTGAACTCGTGAAAATGAATCTTTCCTGATTCCAAGCCCAGCACTCGATCCACTGTACCGACTATCTGCCATTTAGGTCACATTATATTATACCTATGCTTAGGAAGCTTCAGTGTTTCCCCACTGACCTGAAGATAAAATATACACTTCCATATTTGGCATTCAAGGCCCTTCACAAATCTGACTCCAGCCTACTATCTATACTTATAACATATTATTGGTCAGCTAGGTGGTGCAATGGATAGAGTACTAGGCCTAGAGTCAGGAAGACCTGAGTTCAAATCCAACCTCAGATACTTATTGAATGTTTAAACTTGGGCAACCTCTTGCTTGATACGTATATTTAGGCTTGATAACCTCTATGTGCCTCAGCTTCCTCAACTGTAAAATGGGAATAATAAAAGCATCTACCTCCCAGGATTATTGTGACGAACAAATGATATAGTACTTGTAAAGTTCTAGCAAGGTGCCTGGCACATAGTAGGCAAAAATGCTAGCTATTATTATTGGGGAAACTAGGTGGCACAGTGAATAGAGTGCTGGGCTTAGAGTCAGGAAAACTCATCTTACTGAATTCAAATCTGGCCTCAGATACTGATTAACTGTGTGACTCTGGGCAAGTCACTTAACCCTGTTTGCCTCAGTTTCCTCATCTATAAAATAAGCTGGAGAAGAAAATGGCAAACCACTCCAGTATCTTTGCCAAGAAAACCCCAAATGGGGTCACAAAGAGTCAGACATGACTGAACTAACTGAATAATTATTATTCAAGCAATGTACACTCTATCCAAAATTTCCCGGTTTTTGTCCCCTGTGCAAGTATTGTATCTCCCACCTGTGCGCCTTTATCTAGGCCAGTGCCCATGCCTGGAATGCCCTCCCTCCTCACTTCAGTCCCTTGGAACTCCTCCCTTCAAGGCCTCAGCTCATGTGCCATCCCCTTCAAGAGGCCTTTCCTAATTTCCCTAGCTATTAGCAACACACTACTCCCCCTACTCACTTTGAATTTAGCTATAACACTGTATCCCCTCAAGAAAATGTAAGATCTCTAAGGGCAAAAACGTCCTCACTCACTCTCTGTCTCTTCAGTGCCTTCATGACTCCTGGTACAGAGAAGGCTTCTAAGTAATGCTTATTAATTGATTGGTAAAGTGGTACTCTGCTGAGCAAGATGATCATTAGTGACACTTGGTTTATTTCTAAACATTTAATCATAACCTAAAATCTCTGAACTCGCCAGCTTCCTGCCCACTCCCAACCAACCTCTAACCCCAAATAACTGTACTCCACCCTTATGGGTAAGTGTAAAGGAAGCTCTGCTGAGCTCTGAAACATCTTGATAAGCCCTGATCTACTTAATGACTGATCACACTTTACCTATATAGTCACACCCATACATATGTATGTGTATATGTATGTGTATGTGTGTATATTGAATGAGATAACATAAGTAAAATGTTTTATAAATTGTAAAGCTCTATAAAAATGAGAGCTATTATATAGACACACATTCCTTTTTATGCACATGTGGGTTTGGTGATATCTGGAAAGGGGAACATAGCCACTTTTCCTCCTTGTGTTGTCCCCTCCCTCCTACCTTCTCTCTCCCCACCCCCAAGGCCTATACCCCACACACTGCACAAGAAAAAAAAACCTGGACTGGCTATTTCCTGTCCTGCCACATTATAGCCTCTGACTATAATTAAAGGAGTCCCTTGGGAAAAACTGTAAGGTTCTAATGTCTGGTTTCTAGGGCCTCGAGCCTCTCTTTTTCTGGGAAAAAGCCATTTTGAGCTCTGTGGTGGAAAGGGGAGGAGCCAGTGGCTCAGACCCCATAGCTAGGCACCCCTAGATACTACTCTGGTGGTTGAGATTGAGGCAGAATGGAGGCTGACCTTGAAAATTTGTCCTGAATGGTTTAAACATTCACCTGTGGGGAGCTGGACCACATGATCTCTTCAGATAACTCTCCAGCTTCAAGCGTCTAGAGTTTGAGCATGGGGCGGAGTTAAATGATGTAAAAGGGTTGTTGTTTCAGTCATGTCTGACACTTCATGACCCCATTTGGTGTTTTCTTGGCAAAGACACTGGAGTAGTTTGCCATTTCCTTCTCAGCTCATTTTACAGATATGAAAACTAAGGCAAACAGGGTAAAGTGACTTGCTCAGGGTCATACAGCTAGTAGGTAAGCATCTGAGGCCAGATTTGAACTCAAGAAGATGAGTCTTCCTAACTCTAGACCCAGCACTCTATCCACTACGCCACCTGGCTGCTCTACGTAGAAGGGAGGGTAACCCTTAAGGCAGAGGGGACCTAAAGTCCGCGCACAAAACCTGCCACCATTTTTGATCCTTACTAAACCCCCCAACACTATTGACAGGACTACTGAAGAAACCGGGCATTGAAAAGAAGCAAGCCCTTCCCACTCCAGAGGTCTCTAACTGCTCATCTCTACTCATGACCACCAAGTCAAGATCCCCTGGAAATGTTTCGAAAGTGAGGGAATAAGAGGAGAATGGGAATAGAGACAAGACAGGAGCGAAAGTGCAGGGCTTTTACATCAGGAGTCCTACATCAGGATCCAAGGTGTCTCCTGAGGACTCTCAGAAGGGTTATCCACCCTTGGGTTTTTTGAGGAAACCAAGCATTTTTCTCCCTTCTATATCGCACCAGAAGGGAAAGTGGTTTCAGGAAGTATCAATGAAGTATCAATGACTGATAGATTTTAATAAAGAACACTGAAGGATCACTACGTTAAAAACATTATACACACACATATATGCATATATACATACTGTGTGTATGTATGTATATATATATACACACACACACAAAAATATAAACACGCAGTGTTATATGTTATATTCTATATTTATACATATATGTATGTACATATACATATAAAAATATAAACACACTGTATATATGTTTACATAACTATACATAGATATATGTGTATCTGTATGTATGTATACACATATACACATCTGTGTGTGTGTGTGTGTAAGTGTGTGTGAGTGTGTGTGTATAGTGGAAGAAATATCGTGATGCCCAAAGTAGTGGGCTATTATGTCTCCAGAATAAAAAGAGGCAGGAGGAGGGATGGGAAATGTCCTGGAAATTCCTATAAGTTTATTTATTTGTATGTGTGGAAACTATGATAGCAGATTTCACACAGTGTTTTAAGGTTTTGTCTCATGAAGTAAGTACTACAAGCATTATAATCCCTTCTTTACATTGTACAAAAATCTGAAACTGAGGATTAAACAGGGTGAAGCAGTTTTCCCAGGACGATGCTGAAAGATCTGCAGACCCAGCATGTCTGGATATCTGTGTCTGGAATCAAGATGAATCTTTTCTCTCCCTTCTCTCCCCAGACAAATGCTTTCTACCTTTTCTTCCCCATGACTATATCCCCACAAGATATGATTCACCAAAGAACGTCAGGTGCTGCCTTCCTCTGCCTTCCCTCTTCCCGGGCCTCCAGGAAAGAGGCAAAGGCCTTGAGAGGAGCCCCTAGGCAATGCTGCAGGTACAACAACCTTGGGTATCAGAGGAGTGGAAGTAAAACCAGCCCCTAGGTAGCATTCTTCCCTATAGGGGCTCACCCAAGGGCATTCTGTCCCCTCTTGATCCTTTCTGACACCAGATACCTCCCTCTAAACAACCAAGTATTGTCCTGCACCCAACTGAAAAATAAAAATGGCTGACCTTGCCCCCAAGGACACCTTGTCTTCTCCTTTGACAGGATAGTTATGCCCTATAGTTCATCTGATATCCTCAACCCCAACAGGACCTCAGGAAATCATGTGCTCTAGCCCCCTTCCTGTTTTAATAATAATAACAACCACATTTGTAATCTCATTTTATTATTACAACAATCCTGGGAAGGAGGTGCTATTGTCCCCATTTGATAGAGAAGGAAACTGAGGAAGAGGTTAAGTGACTTGCCTCGGATCACACAGTTAGTAACTGTCTGAGGCTAGATATGAACTCAGATATATCCTGACTCCAGGTCCAGTGCTGTATGCACTGTGTCACCTAGCTCTCTTTTTACACAGGCAGCTCCCAGGCCCAGAGAAGTTAAATAACTTTTAACTTATAAAACAAATAGTACCCCAGGAGAGAGAGATAGGCCCCTTCATTTCAGATCCCTCCTTGGAGGCAGAGTTTTCATTTTTTCCCTTTATATCCCCTGTACTTACCCAAAGTAAGTGATTGATTAATTAATTAATGCCAACTAGCATTTATACAGCATTTTAAAAGCACAAAACACTTTACAAATATTTTCTTTTATCCTCACAATAAGTATTTGTTGAATGAATCAACGTACAAGTGAAGGAGTCTCCACCCCTACCCCATACCTGCTCCCCTTTCTACAATGCTGGGACTCCCTAAATGATATAGTATACTCATAGCCATTCCAAGGCTTGGCAGGTTTCCACTGAGTTGTAAGTACCCTAAAAACAGAGGTTGTGTTCTTTATGTGTTCTTTGCAAACTTCAAAGCAATATGTAAAATGAAACAAATTCAAAAGAAAAAAGTTATATATAACACAGAATAAAAAAATAAAAATAATACTTGGGATCACAGAAGAGCAGAATGGGAAGGGACCTTAGAAATCATCTAGTCCAATCTCCTCATTTTACAGAAGAGGAAACTGAGGTCCAGAGATGGGAAGACACTTGTGCGAGTTCACACAAACACTAAGTATCAGAGCTAGGATTTGAACCTAGGGCCTCTTATTCTGAATCCAGGGCTCTTCAGTCCCCACCATTGCTCACCAGTGCTTTGGTGATAGACCAGGTAAGCAGATTTCAAGTCAACCTCTACTCAGACTTTCTTGACCTCACCCATCACAGCAGGTAAAGGTACAAGTCGGGCTGCCACTGCCAACCAACTGACTTTTGGTAAGACATTCCTATGTTAGCAAAAAACTAAGGTGAGCAGATATACTGTATTTGGCAAGATAGTTCTAGAAATCAAGGTCTTGTCTTCTCTGATATGCCCTCCAAAATGGGTCAAAGATTCAATTTTTTTAAATCCCTCCTTCTGTACTGACCCATCCTTCTCTTCTGTTGTCCGTCTTGTTCTCTCACCTAAATGCTCAGAGAGAATCTCATCTACTTGCTAAACCTCCAGCTCTCAATTTGTTTATCTTCTTCATTCCCAGGAATATCAGCTCCAGGAGTTGGCTAAAAAGCAAAGCTCTTACTATCCTGGGTCTGGGAGGCCCCCGAGTCTTACCTGGTTCATCTACCACATAGAGAATGGACTTCCCACTGGAGTCTTCATAGTACTGGAATCTGACTACACAGTCATCCTCATCCTTATAGGTACAGTTCACTGCATCCTTGCCGATGTCCACTGTGGGGAGATGGAGGAGGAAAAAAAAAGATTGTCAGCTCAGAGTGGATGGAGTATTGGGCCTGAAATCAAGAAGACTCATCTTCCTGAGTTCAAATCTGGCCTCAAACACTTGCTAGCTGTGTGACCTTGGGAAAGTCACTTAACCCTTGTTTGCCTTAGTTTCCTCATCTGTAAAATGAGCTGGAGAAGGAAATGGCAAACCACTCCAGTGTCTTTGCCAAGAAAACCCCAAATGGGGTCACATAGTGTCATACATGACTGAAACAACTGAACAACAATAGTAACAGTTCTTTTTTAAAAAAAAATTTTATTTAGTATTCTAATCTTTCCCTAATTACATGTAAAAACAATTTTTAACATTCGTGTTTAAAATTTTGAGTTCCAAATTCTCTCCTTCCTCCCTCCCCACCCCCTTCAATGAGAAGGCAAGCAATTTGATATGGGTTACACATGTGTAGTCACGCAAAACATATTTCCATATTAGTCATATTAATAACAACAGTTCTATCTCCTTTATTTTATAGGGAAAACCAAAAAGATGAAATTACTTGTCCTAAATTACTTATACATAGTGAGGAGCAGAGGTGGGATTCAAACCCAGGTTCTCTGTCACCAAATAAAGTTCTTTGTCAACCACTCCTCCCTCCAATCGTGTGCTTTTAGACGTGATCTTTTTAATACTTCTCAAGTTGCTTCATATGTAATTATTTTGTTTTCCCAATGAAATGTGCAAATTCAGTTTTATAAGCTAGAAGGGGGCTTAGAAACCAATGAGTCCAATTTCCTCTTTTTGCAGGTGAAGAAATTAAGGCACAGAAAAGTTAAGTGGTTGCCATGGGTTTGTTGCTGTACAGTCCTTCAGTCACGTCCGACTCTTTGTGACTCCGCGGATTTGTCCATGGGGTTTTCTTGGCAAAGATATTGGAGTGGTTTGCCATTTCCTTCTTTGGTGTGTCCCCATTTTACATTTGAGGAACTAAGGCAAATAGGAGTTAAGTGACTTGCCCAGGGTCACATAGTTAGTGAGTGTCTGAGGCCAGATTTGAACTCGTCTTCCTGATTCCAAGCCCAGTGCTTTATCTATTATGCCATCTACCTGCCCCATATGCAGAATAGATGGGTGGCAGGTCAAGAGAGGAAGTTATTAGTTATTGGGTAACTGGAAAATGCCTCTGGGTCTTAAAGGAAGCCAGAGAAGCTAAAAGACAGATGGGAGAGGGGAGAGCACTGTGGGTATGGGAGACAGCCAGTGTCATGTAAAAGCATGAAAACTAGAGATGGTTTCACATTCAGAGTATTGCAAGTAGACCAGTACTGCTGGTTTGTAGAGTGACTGGAGCAGAAAAAAATTCAAAGAAGACAGAAGGGAGTCAAATTGTGAAGAGTTCTAAATGAGAGAACTTTATATTTGATCCCAGAACTCATTACGAAGTGACATAGTTAGACTAATACATTAGAAAAATTACCTTGGTACCTCTGGCAAGGAGAGACTTGGGTTTAAATTATGTCTCTGACATTTAGCAGTTTGCTGAACAATCACAACCTTTTGAATCTCAGATTCATTAGCCACATAGTCATGGATAACATAGCTATTAAGAGCTATTAAGCGCAGGGGTGTGGGGGCAGGCAGAGCCAAGATAGTGGAGAGAAGTCAGGAAGCTGGCTGAGCTCTCCCCAGTTTCCCTTGGAAATAACATTAAGTCAAGCCTCTAAAAGAATTCTAGAGTGACAGAATTCACAAAAAGACAGAGCGAAACAATTTTCCAGCTCAGGATAACTTAGGAGGACAGGAAGGATCTGTCTCACTTGGATGAAAGGGGAATGGAGCCCAACATAGCCAGTGTCCTGGCGAGCTGGAGGCTCTTAGCTACAGCACAGATCAGTAATCAAGGCCCCATGGCTCGAGCTCAGCAGGCCAGTGACACAGCAGACCAGCTATGAGACCTCCAGCCCTAGCACAACAGGCAAATTGCCAGCCCTGGAGCCCAGGGCACAACATGTATGACTAGGCTGAGCCACCCTAGTGCAGTAGGCTAGACAACTGCCCCAGAAGCCCCAGGAGAGAAAGCAAGTGGCCAGCCCCCCAGTGCAAGAAGCTTGGGACAATGACCCCTGTGCCCCACAAGCTGAGCTCAACTTTTTAAAAAACGAGCAAAGAAGGGGGCAGATAGGTGGTGCAGCGGATAGAGCACTGGCCTTGAAGTCAGGAGGACCTGAATTCAAATCCGGCCTCAGATCAAGCACTTGACACTTACTAGCTGTGTGACCCTGGGCAAGTCACTTAACCCCAATTGCCTTTTAAAAAATGAGCAAAAAACAAAAAAGAGCCCTGACTATAGAAAGCTACTATGGTGACAGGGAAGATCAAAACATAAACTCAGAAGAGGACAACAATGTCACAATGCCTACATGTGAAACTTCAAAGGGGAATATTAGTTGGTCTCAAGCCCAAAAAATCCTCTTGGAAGAGCTCAAAAGTGATTTTAAAAATTAAGTAAATGAGGTAGAAGAAAAAATGGGCAAAGAAATGAGAGTTATACAAAAGAATTACGAAAAAATCAACAGTTTGGAAAAGGAAGCACAAAAATTGACTGAAGAAAACAACTCCTTAAAAAATAGAATTGGCTAAATGAAAAAAAAAAATCCACTGAAGATCACTCCTTTAAAAGCAAAATTGGCCAAATGGAAAAGGAGGTACAAAAACTAACTGAAGAAAATAATTCCTTAAAAATTAGAATTGAGGGGGCAGCTAGATGGCACAGTGGATTGAGCACTGGCCGTAGAGTCAGGAGGACCTGAGTTCAAATCCAGCTTCAGACACATAATACTCACTCTGGGCAAGTCACTTAACCCCAATTGCCTCACCAAAAAAAAAAAAAAATAGAATTGGGCAAGTGGAAGCTCGTGACTTTGTGAAACACTGAGAATCAAATAAAACCAAAAGAATGAAAAAAGAGTAGAAGAAAATGTAAAATACCTCATTGGAAAAACAACTGACCTGAAAAATAAATCCAAGAGAGATAATTTAAGAATTATTGGATGACCTGAGAGCCATGATCAAAAAAAAAAAAAAAGAGCTGCATCTTTCAAGAAATTTTCAAGGTAAACTTCCCTGATATCCTAGAACCAGAGGGTAAAATAGTCACTAAAAGAATCCACTGATCACCTCCTGAAAGAGATCCCAAAATGAAAACTCCAAGGAATATTGTAGCCAAATTTTAGACCTATCAGGTCAAGGAGAAAATACTGCAAGAAGCCAGAAAGAAACAATTCCAATATCAAGGAGCCACAGTCAGGATTACACAGGACTTAGAAGCGTCTATCTTAAAGGACTGGAGGGCTTAGGTTATGATATTCCAGAAGGCAAAAGAGCTTGAATTACAAGTAGAAATCAACTATCCAGCAAAACTGAGCATCATCTTTCAGGGGGAAAGATGGATATTCAATGAAATAGAAGATTTTCAAATTTCCTGATGAAAAGGCCAGAGCTGAACAGAAACAACTGTACCAGATCTAAAACTATATTATAAAGCAAAAATCATCAAAACTAATTGGTACTATCTAAGAAATGGAGTGGTGGATCAGTGGAATAGATTAGGTACACAAGACACAGTAATTGATTATAGTAATCTATTGTTTGATAAACCCAAAGACTCTACTTCTGGGATAAGAACCCATTATTTGACAAAAACTGCTGAGAAAACTGGAAAATAATATGGTAGAAACTAGGCATAGACCAGCATCTCATACTGTATACCAAAATAATGTCAAAATGGGTATGTGATTTAGATATAAACGGTGGTACCATAAGCAAATGAGGAGAGCAAGGAAGAGTTTACCTGTGAGATCTATGGAGAAGGGAAGAATTCATGACCAAACAAGAGAAAGAGATCATTATGAAATGCAAAATGGATAATTTTGATTATATTAAATTAAAAAGATTTTGCACAAACAAAACCAAGGCAACCAAGATTAGAAGGAAAGCAGAAAGATGGGAAACAATTTTTACAGCAAATATTTCTGATAAAAGTCTCATTTCTCAAATATATGGAAAACTGAGTCAAATTTATAAGAATACAAGTCATTCTCCAAATGATAAACAGTCAAAGGATATGAACAGGCAGTTTTCAGATGAAGAAATTAAAGCTATCTATAGTCATATAAAAATGCTCTAAATCACTACTGATTAGAGAAATGCAAATTAAAATAATTCTGAAGTACCACCTCACACCTAACAGATTAACTAATATGACAGAAAAGGAAAATGATAAATGTTGGAGAAGATGTAGGAAAATTGGGGCACTAATGCATGGTTGGTGGAATCCAACCATTCTGGAGAGCAATTTGGAACTATACCCAAAGGGCAATCAAACTGTGCATACCCTTTGACCCAATAATACCACTACTAGGTCTGTATCCTAAAGAGATCACAAAAAAGTGAAAAGGGCCTACACATACAAAAATATTTATAGCAACTCTTTTTGTGGTAGCAAAGAATTGGAAACTGAGGGAATGCCCATCAATTGGGGAATGGCTAAACAAGTTGCGGCATATGAATGTACGGAATACTATTGTGCCACAAGAAATGATGAGCAAGCAGATTTCAGAAAAACCTGGACTTATATAAACTGATACTGGGCAGAGCACGCGTAACCGGGAGAACATTGTACATAGTAACAGCAACATTGTGTGATGGTCAGTTATTATTGACCTAGATCTTGTCAGCAATACAATGATCCAAGACAATTCCAAAAGATTCACGATGGAAAATGCTATCCACATCCAGAAAAAGGACTGTGGAGTCTGAATACAGATCAAAGCATACATTTTCACTCTGTTTTTTGTTTTTTGTGGCTTTCCTCTTTTGTTCTGTTTCTTCTTTCACAACATGACTAATGTGAAAATATGGTTACGTGATTGTATAACTTATATCAGATTGTTTGCCATCTTGAGGAGGGAAATTGGGAGGGAAGAAGGGAGAAAAAATTGAAACTAAA